TTACTGAATTGCTTAAAAAAACAAATATTCTGCAGCAGAGGAAAGATAGTCTTAGCCAAGAGATCACTGAATTAGAGCAAAAACTTAGGATGTCATACCTAACAGAAGGAGTACAAAGGGAACAAAGGGCCATACGGGATATTGCAAGAAACTCAAAATATTTCTATTCCTATGCAATATCCAAGCTAAGAACTACCTGTAGAATTAGACCATTATTGAGAGGAGATTCATATACTGACAATGAACAGGAAATGATTGAAATCCTAAATGACAGCAATGTAGAAAATGTAGAAACATTTTTCACTCCAGCAGAAGGCTGCACAGGCCAACTAACTGACATTAATACAAATCCCATAAATTTCGAAAAAGAAATGGATGACATGCCCACTCACTCAGCATTTGGACCAGATTCATGGAATGCCCAATTTATAAAGAAGTGCCAAGCACCACTAGCATGAGCCCTCAGGAGGAGACCAAACAGAGTTGAACAACTATAGGCCAATATCCAACTTACACCCTCTCTCAAAAATCTTCGAAAAATTAACTCATAAACGAATCTACTCCTACCTCATCTCCTAAAACATACTCAACCCCTGCCAATTTGGATTCAGGCCTAATAAAAATACTAATGATGCTATTATACACATGCTAGAACATATATACACTGCAATAGAGAAAAAAAGTCCCACTGGGGATCTTCATTGACTTACGTAAAGCTTTTGATACAGTTGACCATGACTTGCTCCACATAAAATTGTCACACTGTGGTATAAGAGGGCACTCCCTCAACTACCTCAATTCATACCTCAGCAACAGAAGCCAATATGTGTACGCAAATGGGGCAAACTCTTCCGCACAACCAATTACAGTTGGTGTCCCACAGGGAAGTGTCCTTGGCCCTCTTCTCTTTCTCCTACACATAAATGACCTACCAAATGCTTCGCAATTACTCAAACCCACACCATTTGCAGATGACACTACATACGTCTTCTCTCACCTGAGCCCAGTCACGCTAGCCAATACTGTAAATACCGAATTACAGAAAATATCTACCTGGATGAGGACTAACAAACTTACACTAAACATTGACAAAACCAACTTCATTCAGTTTGGTAACAGAGCTACAGATGTCCCTCTTAACATAATGATAAACGGATCACCTATCACAAAGCTAACAGAGGGAAAATTCTTAGGAATGCACCTTGATAATAGACTCAAATTTCATACACATATACAACAAATTTCTAAGAAAATTTCCAAGACCGTAGGCATACTATCGAAGATACGGTACTATGTTCCACAGTCAGCCCTCCTGGCCCTATATCACTCTCTTATTTACCCCTATCTCACCTATGGAATTTGTGCATGGGGCTCAACAACAATTAACCATCTCAGACCACTAATTACCCAACAAAAGGCTGCAGTCAGAATGATAACAAATTCCCACTACAGGCAGCAGACTCCACCAATATTCAAAACTCTAAACCTACTCACCATACAAAACATCCACACTTATTATTGCACCTATTACATACATAGAACACTTAACTCTGATATTAACCCTCCCCTCAAACATCTCCTTGCCAACCTCAACAGAACACATGACCATAACACAAGGCACAGATCACTCTTTGATGTTCCTCGTGTCCATCTCATGCTATGCAAAAATGCACATAAAAGGCCCTAAAATCTGGAATTCATTACCTGTAAATATAAAAGAAACACTACCTGTTTATAAATTCAAGTCTCTTCTCAAAGATCACTTACTCACTCAAAACCAAATAAATACTGAATAACTGAACCTTATAAATTGTATATCCTAAATGTTACTCACAATTATATCACACAAATGTAAACCTAGGACCTAATCTAACTTTATTATTTTTTTAAATACACTACCTAACAGAATACTCCATTCGACTGAATGTACAGCAATGCAAGCAACCATATGACCTGTCTTTGTAATACTCATTTGTGCTTTATTGTTATCTGTTTACAATAATGTTTTATCACTGATTATATCATTGCTTAGTTAATCTTCAGTTAATTTTAAGCCTGCCTGTAATGCTATGCATACAAGTGGCTTTGGCATGCTGCTCTTACCTGTATTTTTTTGTACCTCTGTATGTATGTTCAAATTATAAACTAAATAAATAAATAAATAAAGAGCTCAGAGCTAGGTGAAATACCGGAGGCCTTAAAGAGTGCAGACCTAACTCCTTTGCATAAGGGAGTAGAGCACTAGCTAAAAATTACAGATCAGTAGCTCTAACTTCTCACATCATAAAAATCTTCAAAGAGTGATGACATGGTAGATTACAAATTTCATGGACCAGCACATCCAGCATAACCCAAACCAGCATGGTTTTAGAGAAAGACAATCATGCCTGTCACAGCTGCTGAATCGTTATGACAGAATTACGGAGGCATTGGAAGACAACCAAAGCACAGATGTGATTTATACAGATTTTGCAAAGGCATTTGACAAATGCGATCATAGAGTGATAGTGCACAAAATGATGGCCATGGGCATTACGGGGAAGGTAGGCAGTTGGATTTTCGGGTTCCTAACACAGAACACAAAAGGTAGTAGTGAAAAGAGCAAGATCCAGCATCAGCGAGGTAAAAAGCTCAGTGTCCCAAGGCACTGTCCTGGCACCTCTGCTGTTTCTCATCCTTATAGCATAGATAAAAACACCTGTCGCACTTTTGTATCATCATTTACAGATGACACTAAAATAAGCATTAAAGTCACTATGGTAAAGGACACTGAAAAATTACAGGAAGACATAAGCAGGGTTTTCCAGTGGGCAGTGGAGAACAACATGATGTTCACTGGTAAGTAAGTAAGTAAGTTTATTCAGGTATACACAAATACAGTTACACAGAATTATCATACATAGCAGCATATGTGTAGAGAACCTGGGATAACCCAAAAAAGTCAGACAGAGTGACTTATTTCCAATGGGGTCCTTTTACCTTATTATTATAATATAAAGGTTATAATATTTTATAATTATTCAAATGCGATCATAGTGTTTTTGGTGATAAGTTCCAGCTTCTCAGGTATGGAAAGAATGAAGAACACTAAAGGAACATTACAGTACGTATACGAAACTCAAGAGGGTCACCAAATAAAACAAAAGGAACACGTAAAAGACCTGGGAATAATTATGTCAGCTGACCTTTCTTTTAAAGACCATGAAAAAACAAAGATCATGGACAGCCAGGAAGATGATGGGATGGATATTGAGAACTTTCAAAACAAGGGAAATAATGCCAACAGTGACACTTCAAACTGCTAGTGCTCCCTTATTTAGAATATTTAAGTAAAAGGACACAAGTGCAACTAATGTGACATTTATTGTGGCAATGTTTCACTCTCCAGGGGCTTTATCAAGCCATTAGTAATGGCTTGATAAAGCTCCTGGAGAGCGAAACGTTGCCACAATAAATGTCACATTAGTTGCACTTGTGTCCTTTTACTTTACATATTGTCGGTAATTCTACCAACTTTATAACTATTTAGAATATGTATTGCTCAGTACAGAGGCCCTGTTCAAAGCAGGAGAAATATCAGAGCTGGAACAAATACAGAGATCGTTTATGGCTTACATTAAACCAGTAAAGCACCTAAATTACTGGGAATGCCTTCAAATCTTGAACATGTACTCACTGAAGCAGAGGAAAGAAAGATACATGATAGTATATACCTGGAAAGTACTCAAGGGCATGGTCCCAAATCTGCACACTGTCATAACAATATACCGGAGTGAGAGATATGGGAGAAAGTGTAAAATAAACCCAGTGAGGAGCAGGGGTGCGGTGGGGACAATAAGGGAACACTGTATCAACATCCGGGGTCCCAGACTATTCAACATCTTTCCAGAAGATATCAGAAACACTGCTGGAACAAGTGTAGAAGCATTCAAGAGGAAACTGGACAAGTATCTTCAGCAGGTGCCAGATCAACCAGGCTGTGATGGATATGTGGGGCAGCAAACCTCCAGCAGTAACAGCCTGGCTGACCAGGCAAGCACCAGATGAGCCTGGCCCATGGCCGGGCTCCGAGAGTAGTGAAACTCTTGAAACTCTTCAACGGTATATCAAAGGTAAGGTTGGGGTACTTACCTGGAGTATGTCTGGAAAGGGTTTTTTTTGGGGGGGTCAACTCCCCTGCAGCTCAGTCTGAGACCAGGGCTCGTTGTGATCAGGGTCTGATCAACCAGGCTGTTACTGCTGGCCACATGTAAACCAACGTATGAGCCACAGCCTGGCTGATCAGGTACTGACTTTAGGTGCCTGTCCAGTGCCTTCTTGAAGACAGCCAAAGGTCTATCGGCAATCCCCCTTACGTATGCTGGGAGGCAGTTGAACAATCTTGGGCCCCTCACACTTATTGTATTGCCTCTCAGTGTACTCGTGGCGCCCCTGCTTTTCATTGGGGGAATGTTGCATCTGCCGAGTCTATTACATTCACAGCAGCGGGGGTGTTGACCCCCGAAACCTTCTCCAGGTATACTCCAGGTAGGTACCTTACCTTTGATATACCTAATTAATACCGAGGATATACAGGCGTAGGTACTGAATTAATGCAGTTTCGAAGATTAAAAATAAATAATCAGTTCACCATAGGTATATACGAGAAAATAGGTCCCTGAGGTACCTAATAATGCCCAGGATATACAGACGTAGGTACTGAATTAATGCAATTTCAAAGCTTAAAAATAAATAACCAGGTCCACCATAGGTATATATGAGGAGAAAATACGTCCCTAGATCACCTAATTATCACCTATGAACCTGTCATTAGGAAAGAAGTGAGGAGAAACCGTTTTAAATATGCTAGTGATGCTAAGTGGCGGAGGGTGCCATTTACATCCATTTTAAGGTGTTTCCCGGGTGTGTCTTGGGGGTGTGGGTGGCAGGGTGGTGGCACAAGGGTGGCAGAGTGGCACAGGTGTCAGGTGTAGTGCAATTAAGACAAGAAAAACACTTACTTTGAGGTAGGAGTCAGCGGAGAGCTGCTGCTGCTGCCGCTGCTAACATGGCCGACCACCTCACTATAATAACTGAAGTTACTCTCTTGACCTCTTATAACTACTACACCAACTTAAAGTTACTCTCTTCACCTATTATAACTACGGCACCAACCTAAAGCTACTCTCTTCACCTATTATAACTAACTTTACATACTGTTATAACTACTACTGTAACTTAAGTTACTCTCGACCTTCTATTACTACTATTCTACCTTAGTAAGTTTGTTCAGGTATACACAAATATAGTTACATAGATTATCATACATAGCAGCATATGTGTAGTGAACCTGGGATAACCCAAGAAAGTAAGACAGCTTGTCCCTGTTCACCCATCAGTTCAAAATGTGTACCTGGGTGTTAGTGGACTGGTGTGGGTCGCATCCTGGGACAAAATTTACATAATTTGCGGGAAATGCTCAGTATAACAAGGGGCTATGGTCTGTATAACTTGTACATGTACTTGTAGAAATAAAGATATTATTATTATTATTATTATTATTATTATTATTATTATTATTATTATTAACATTAAGTTACTTTCTTGACATTTTATAACTGTTATAACTAACTTAACGATGTTATAACTACTACGCTAACTTATTATTATAGCTACTACTGTAACTCTTGGGACTAGTACCAAATCTGCACACGAAACTCACTCCCTACCAAAGCAAAAGATTCTGCAGATGTAATATTCCCCACGAGTACGCTAAGAGACAACACAGGACCATAACATCGTATCAATCACATCTGCTAGAAAAATGACAGGATGGATAATGAGAAGATAATATAAGATAAGATAAGATTTCGTTCGGATTTTTAACCCCGGAGGGTTAGCCACCCAGGATAACCCAAGAAAGTCAGTGCGTCATCGAGGACTGTCTAACTTATTTCCATTGGGGTCCTTAATCTTGTCCCCCAGGATGCGACCCACACCAGTCGACTAACACCCAGGTACCTATTTGCTGCTAGGTGAACAGGACAATAGGTGTAAGGAAACGTGTCGAAATGTTTCCACCCGCCGGGAATCGAACCCGGGCCCTCCGTGTGTGAAGCGGGAGCTTTAGCCACCAGGCCACCGGGCCACCGGGCCACCTTCAAAACTAGGGAGGCCAAGCCCATGATGACACTCTTCAGGTCACTTGTTCTATCTAGGCTGATATATTGCTGCACACTAACAGCACCTTTCAAGGCAGGTGAAATTGCTGACCTAGAAAATGTACAGAGAACCTTCATGGCGCGCATAACGGAGATAAAACACATCAATTACTGGGAGCGCTTGAGGTTCCTAAACCTGTATTCCCTGGAACGCAGGAGGGAGAGATACATGATTATATACACCTGGAAAATCCTAGAGGGACTAGTACCGAACTTGCAAACGAAAATCACTCACTACGAAAGCAAAAGACTTGGCAGACGATGCACCATTCCCCCAATGAAAAGCAGAGGTGTCACTAGCACGTTAAGAGACCATACAATGAGTGTCAGGGGCCCGAGACTGTTCAACTGCCTCCCAGCATACATAAGGGGGATTACCAACAGACCCCTGGCAGTCTTCAAGCTGGCACTGGACAAGCACCTAAAGTCGGTTCCCGATCAGCCGGGCTGTGGCTCGTACGTTGGTTTGCGTGCAGCCAGCAGTAACAGCCTGGTTGATCAGGCTCTGATCCACCAGGAGGCCTGGTCACAGACCGGGCCGCGGGGGCGTTGACCCCCGGAACACTCTCCAGGTAAACTCCAGTAAGTGTCAGGGGCCCAAGACTGTTCAGCAGCTTCCCATCATACATAAGAGGGATAACCAATAGACCCCTGGCTGTCTTCAAAACCCCTGGCTGGCTTCAAGACCCCTGGTTGTCAAGACCCCTGGCTGTCTTCAAGACCCCTCTGGCTGGCTTCAATACCCCTGGTTGTCAAGACCCCTGGCTGTCTTCAAGACCCTTGGCTGTCTTCAAGGCCCCTGGCTGTCTTCAAGACCCCTGGCTGGCTTCAATACCCCTGGTTGTCTTCAGTACCCCTGGTTGTCTTCAATACCCCTGGTTGTCAAGACCCCTGGCTGGCTTCAATAGCCCTGGTTGTCTTCAAAACCCCTGGTTGTCTTCAAAACCCCTGGCTGTCTTCAAAACTCCTGGTTGTCTTCAAAACCCCTGGTTGTCTTCAAAACCCCTGGTTGTCTTCAAAACCCCTGATTGTCTTCAAAACCCCTGGTTGTCTTCAATTGAAAACTCCTGGTTGTCTTCAAAACCCCTGGTTGTCTTCAAGACCTCTGGCTGTCTTCAAAACCACTGGTTGTCTTCAAAACTCCTGGTTGTCTTCAAAACCCCTGGTTGTCTTTAATACCCCTGGTTGTCTTCAAGACCCCTGGCTGTCTTCAAAACCACTGGTTGTCTTCAAAACCCCTGGCTGTCTTCAAAACCACTGGTTGTCTTCAAAACCCCTGGCTGTCTTCAAAACCACTGGTTGTCTTCAAAACCCCTGGCTGTCTTCAAAACCCCTGGCTGTCTTCAATACCCCTGGCTGTCTTCAAAACCACTGGTTGTCTTCAAAACCCCTGGCTGTCTTCAAAACCACTGGTTGTCTTCAAAACCCCTGGCTGTCTTCAAAACCCCTGGCTGTCTTCAATACCCCTGGCTGTCTTCAAAACCACTGGTTGTCTTCAAAACCCCTGGCTGTCTTCAAAACCACTGGTTGTCTTCAAAACCCCTGGCTGTCTTCAAAACCCCTGGCTGTCTTCAAAACCCCTGGCTGTCTTCAAAACCACTGGTTGTCTTCAAAACCCCTGGCTGTCTTCAAAACCACTGGTTGTCTTCAAAACCCCTGGCTGTCTTCAAAACCACTGGTTGTCTTCAAAACCCCTGGCTGTCTTCAAAACCCCTGGCTGTCTTCAAAACCACTGGTTGTCTTCAAAACCCCTGGCTGTCTTCAAAACCCCTGGCTGTCTTCAAAACCACTGGTTGTCTTCAAAACCCCTGGCTGTCTTCAAAACCCCTGGCTGTCTTCAATACCCCTGGCTGTCTTCAAAACCACTGGTTGTCTTCAAAACCCCTGGCTGTCTTCAAAACCACTGGTTGTCTTCAAAACCCCTGGCTGTCTTCAAAACCCTGGCTGTCTTCAAAACCCCTGGCTGTCTTCAAAACCACTGGTTGTCTTCAAAACCCCTGGCTGTCTTCAAAACCACTGGTTGTCTTCAAAACCCCTGGCTGTCTTCAAAACCACTGGTTGTCTTCAAAACCCCTGGCTGTCTTCGAATTATTATTATTATAATCAAGGGGGAAGCGCTAAACCCGGAGGATTATACAGCGCCTGGGGGGGGATGTGGAAGGCATTCAGGCTTAATTCGGGGAACTGGAGCACAGATCCAATTCCCTAAATCAAGAGCCCCTCACCAACATCAAGGAACCTTCCTTGAGGGGGCTGTCTTCAAAACCCCTGGCTGTCTTCAAAATCCCTGGTTGTCTTCAATACCCCTGGTTGTCTTCAATTCCCCTGGTTGTCTTCAAAACCCCTGGTTGTCTTCAATACCCCTGGTTGTCTTCAATTCCCCTGGTTGTCTTCAAAACCCCTGGTTGTCTTCAATACCCCTGGTTGTCTTCAATTCCCCTGGTTGTCTTCAAGAGGGAGCTGGACAGACACCTAAAGTCAGTACCTGACCAGCCGGGCTGTGGTTCCTATGTTGGTTTACACGTGACTGGTAGTAACAATCTGGTTGATCAAACCCTGGTGTGGGTGGCATCCTGGGGGAGAGGAGGTTATATAACTGACTGGGTGTTAATCAACTGGTGTGGGTGGCATCCTAGGGGATGCTGTATATTTTAACCATCACCAACAGCCTGGTTGATGGACCCCAATGGAAATAAGTCACTCTGACTTTTTTGGGTTATCCCAGGTTCTCTACACATATGCTGCTATGTATGATAATCTGTTTAACTGTATTTGTGTATACCTGAATAAACTTACTTGCTATGAGAGACCCGGCAGCTGTCACCACAAGCACCCCAGGACTGACCTCCCGCTCCTTCCTAAAGTGAATGATCCTTACGAGTTTAGTGCTTCATGTAATATATCACTGTATGACCTCACTAGGTTTACTACTTATTTATTATAGAGTTTACTGTTATTAGAAATAAAACCTTTTACAATAACTTCATAATAGATCTCAATAATAATAATAATAATAATAATAATAATAATAATAATATGTACATGTAATTCAAAACAAACATACATATATGAATTTCTCTTCAACAATTTTATTTATGCACTGCTGTGCAATAATTAAAAACAATTTTTTGGTACCTTAAAACGCTACAGCCAAAAGTGTGTGTGTGTGTGTGTGTGTGTGTGTGTTATATATATATATATATATATATATATATATATATATATAATATATATATATATATATATATATATATATATATATACACATGTATATATATACACACACATACATACATACACACACACAGTGGTGCCTTGAATTTCGAAGAGCTCCCAACTCAAACAATTGTATTTTTGTTAAGTGCTTTTGTAAGCACTTACAAAAATACAATTCAAACAAGCGTATTTTTGTAAGTGCTTTTGTAAATGTATTTTTGGGGGTCTGAAACAGACTAATCTAATTTACATTGTTCCTTATGGGAACAAATTCGTTCGGTAATGGCACTCGAACAACCTTCTGGAATGAATTATGACCGAAATTCGAGGTACCACTGTATATATAAAATGACCTATTGAAAAAATATTTCTGGAAACAAAATTTACAGCTGTAAATTAATGAGATTCCAAGATATTATCTTCTTGCAAGTTATTCATGTATAAATAACATTTACAAAATTTACAAGCCAGCAATGAGGTAATTTATAACTTAAATTTTATTTTTTAATTCGGATATTGGTGAATTTCCTGCGACTAATAGTAGCAGCAAACAGTGCAATATACAACCTTTAAATATTTCATACATTAAATCATACCAATCTTCTGAACATAAACTATTATCAAATAAAAAGTTTCTAACTTACAATTAAGTTGTACAGAAATCCTTCAAGTTAATGAACCTCGATTTAACAAACTTTGGAAATGTATGAAACAAATCCATTGAGCCAACCGAGTCAGAATCAACAGACAGACATTACTGATCACCAACTACCCACCTTATTATTCACATAAAATAAGGGGTTTGCTGTAGTAGTGTTAGATAGTTTTAGGTTTCATTTTCAGGCCATGAAAAATGCTGTGTATAACTGGGGCTTTTCAAAAAAATGCACAGTATGTTGAAATATCCATGAAAGACTGTAAATTTTTTTTTAGTATACTAGACTTCAGTAATTTCTTTGAAATTGTGTGAGGGGCATTTATAATATGGTGATGGCACGTGCTTATGAAAATGTATCAAATCTGTGTGGGTTGTACAGCACCATAAACAGTGTATACACTGTTCTAATTATAATTTCTTTTGTCATTATCTTTCTAGCACTCTAACATGTTTTGAGGCATGAAATCCATGTTTCTGCACAAGGTGCCCCAGGGAGCAGGGCAATGTTTGAGGGTGGGCCGTGATCATGACGTTCTCCACCATCACTTCCTCTATTGAGTGTCCACGGTTTAATTCCCAGTACAGGTTGAAACATTGGGTATATTTCCTTACGCCTGCTGCCCCTGTTCACCTAGCAGCAAGTATGTGCCTGTGTGTTAGTCAACTGGTGTGAGTTGCATCCTGGGGGACAAGCTCATCCTAAGTTATGGGAAATGCTCTGCATAACCAGGGGCTTTCTATATAGTATGTCACTGATGTCAGCTATGGTCTATATAAGTTGTATCATGTACCTGTAGAAATAAAGATTATTATTATTATTATTATTAAGGGGAAGTGCCGATCTTGCAGGAGTCATACAGTACCCGGGGAATGGGAAGTAACCAGGTTTAATGCAAGGAAGTAAAAGGTAGGTACAACTCCATTGATCAAGGAGCCTTCAGGACTTCACCCAAGGTCTTCAAAACAATAGGTATCCTCAACAGGATACATTATTTTGTACCTCAAACAACACTACTTACATTTTACCACTCTCTAATCTACCCTTATCTCACCTATGGTATTGTGCCTGGGGATTTACCTCATTAATCCAACAATAAGCCACTGTGTGGACTATCACAAACTCTATTGCCAGACAACACACTCCCCACTTTTCAAAAGCTTGAACTTACTTAATATACAAAATGTGAACTCATACTACAGTACTGTGCCTACTATATATATATAAGGGTTATTCTCTTCAAATATACACACTTCTCTGAAACTTTTCCTTGACAGCTGCAACAAAACATACAGGCATAACACATGACACAAAACCCTTTTTGACATCCCCAGTGTCCAACTCAACCTGTGCAAAAACTCAATTTGCATAAAAGACCCTAAGATCTGGAATTCATTGCCTGAGGCACTGAAAGGTCCCCTGTCTACTAATCGATACAGAGCTATTGTTAAAAAGTGCCTCAACTCCCTAACATAAGTGAACCAACTATCAGCTATGTCAAACAAAACCAGCTCATCCAATTCTGTCCCTGTTCTTCCAGTCACCCAACTCTGTCCCTGTTCTTCCAGTCATCCAACTCTGTCCCTGTTCTTCCAGTCATCCAACTCTGTCCCTGTTCCTCTTCCAGTCTTCTTTCAACTCCCATAGAAAATTGATTACACATCTTGTCCCATTTTATTTCTACTGTAAGACAGTAACTTGTTCTATCTTCACTGTCTGTATTTAGTCACTCCACAAAACTGAAGAATACTGAATCAGTGCAAAATAATAAGTCATACTTTTAAAAGTGTACCATTTGTTCATTGGCAAACTTTCTTATTGTACGTATCATTGTAGTTAGTTGCATAAGAAATCCTACTTAATAGTCTATGTCTAAATCTAAAGTACCATTGAAGCATTAGGATTAGTGTGCCCAAAATAAAACTGCATAATTAGTGGCTTTCTTTTGTGCCTAGCAATGATTTATTACATGTAAACTACAATATTTGTACTACATAAAGAAATAAAAATTGTATTGTATTGTATTAAGACATTTCTTGAGGTGACAAATTATGATAATGATGATGACCTTACAGCACCTGTCCTCCTTCCTCTTCTACTATCATTATTACTGTATTACTATATTATTATTATTACTATTATTTGAGGACTATTAAAGTTGTAAGTACATTATATAACACTTAGGAAATTGGAGGTAAATCTGGTTTAATATAAGGAATGGGAGTGTAGTTTCAAGAGGTCTTCGCCTGCCTCTTAGCACCTCTGTAATGGGGTAAGTTTTCTAGAGTGGTATTCACTGACTCCTAACACACAATTTGATTTTCTTGTCATAGTTATGTCATCATGAGATAACAAAATAAATTTCAATGAGTGTCATAACTTGTTTATGTTTTACTTGAGTCATGAAGGAGGAAAGTACAGTGTCTACACTCTGAAGGATGGATGGGGATATATTGCGGTTGTTTAACTGTAGTATGGCACACCTCTGGCAAGACAGTGATGGAGTGAGTGATGATGAGTGTTTCTTCCTTCTTGGGTTACCCTGCCTCAGTGGGAAATGGCCTATGTGCTAAAAAAAGAAATGGACACATTTGATTCAAGTCAAACATGACCCATATGTCGTGTTCTATTGTACTTTAATTAAACTTATGAAAATTTAATCATATATCAGCAACATAAGGAACTTCCTCTGCAACCATAAATCACTACTATGATGAAAACAGTGTTGATGAATTTTGTGCAAACCTTTGTTTCTATAATAAATTAATTGTACTTCTCCAGCTAGGTCTACTGTACATTTTGATCTTGTACATCCTAGTGTATAGTGTGATATAGTCTATCCTAATGTATATTAATAGATGTATATCTAAATTACTGCATTAATTTTGGTCCATATACATTTATACTTCACCATTCCTAAAAGAAGCACTGCAGTAGGTCCAGCAGACTATTGTTAAGTATACTGACCAACATTAAATCATGTTCTTCACAACTAATACTTCAGCACCTCGCTTTCATCTATTTGATATTTGTTTATGTGGTGGACTGGTAAGCAGGCTAAAGGCTTTGGTTAAATAATTAAAAGCTCTAGTGAGTGGGTTATCATGTATCCAACATGAGCATCAGTAGAACTTTGACCATTTCTAGGGATAAAGTGACTCCATGGCCTGGCTGGCAAAGCTCTCACCTCACACATGGAGGGCCCAGGTTTGATTCCCGGTGGGGTAGAAACATTTCGGCGCGTTTCCTTACACCTGTTGTTCTGTTCACCAAGCAGCAAGTAGGTACCTGGGTGTTAGTTGACTGGTGTCAGTCACATCCTGGGGGACAAGTCTGAGGACCCCAAAGGAAATAAGACAGACAGTCGTTAAGTAAGACATATGCAACAGTTAGGTATCTTTATTTCGAAACGTTTCGCCTACACAGTAGGCTTCTTCAGTCGAGTACAGAAAAGTTGATAGAAGCAGAAAATACTGGAAGACGATGTAATCAGTCCATCACCCTATGGATCATCATACTATGGAACAATGCTCTTCTCCAGACTGAGGGACTGACCACCTCAAAACTTTAAGGGTGATGGACTGATTACATCGTCTTCCAGTATTTTCTGCTTCTATCAACTTTTCTGTACTCGACTGAAGAAGCCTACTGTGTAGGCGAAACGTTTCGAAATAAAGATACCTAACTGTTGCATATGTGTCTTACTTAACAACCTGTCGGTATTTTATACCATTTTAATGTTCAAGACAGACAGTCCTCGATGACGCACTGCCTTTCTTGGGTTATCCTGGGTGGCTAACCCTGTGAGGTTATAAATCCAAACAAAATCTTATCTTACCACCAAATACAGTACGTATATGTATTGATCTTTCTTTAATTTTTCTTGTGTGTCTAATGATGCATTAAACATGAGTAACTGGAGTGTCTTTCCTAATCTAATCTTCACTACAATAATACTGAAACATACATATAATGTATAATATGCAACACTTTCTTTGAGAATGTGACTCTGAAATCATAATTTGCAGTGATACTAACTTATGCAATGTTTTCTCATTCATTTCTATGGTGTTGTTAGCAGCAGCTATTACATTTCTAGCATGATCTATTGCTATCTTAGGTTAATAAATGTGAGAGTAAGAACTTGCAGCATATTTACTGATTACTGGAATGGGGAAGGTAGTCTGCCATACCACAAGCCTGGGAAGTCGCTACTCTCAGTTGCTAAGCAACACAAGAATAGCCCATAGCCTTCCACTAATAAGCAACACAAGAATAGTCCACAATCTTCCACTATTAAGCAACACAAGAGTGGCCCACAACTACCCTCTTGTTACTATGCACCACAATCTCTCTCTTCACCATGCTCTACATTCCAACACCTCCAGTGCTCTAAAAATGATCCATCACACATCAAAAGTGCCTGTACAATTTTAAATCAAATCAACTCAAATTTTGTCATGATCTGTTTGAGTGGGCTATTACTGTTAGTATATAAAAAAAGTGTTAACCTTGTGTCACTTACACAGCACTGTGCTAGGGTGTAGTCATTTATTTAGGATAAAAGGACTATATAATGTTGCAGCTTATTTGTAGCGATAATGACAAGTGCAATATTGTCATTATGGCTACCTATTACCACATTTTGAATAGCATTTATTACAACATATACCAGATTATATGAAATAGAAGCTTATGACAATGTTTTGGTCCAACATGGACCATTTACAAACTCACATTGTAAATGGTCCAAGTCAGACTGAAACATCATCATAAGCTTCTTTCTCCTATGTGCGGGTTATTTGTGTATTGTTCCAGTCATAGTATTGTGCCTTTTTGTTCTTTACCAGATTATATGGCACCTTCAGGGAGGACAAAGGGAATAAGGATGTGCCAGATTTTCAACACGGATAATTACATTGGTGAAATTTTCATTTTTTTTTTTTTACTTTTGCATCATTTTTTTTAGGCCTAGTGCTATTGTCCACTTAATAAATGATAATGTAAACATGTTTTTAGGCTTTTATATACACTAGCAAGTGAAAAAATGGCTGTGATTAGCTTTATGTCAGCAGTCTGGAACTTAACCTGGTGCATTAGTAAGGTATGCCTGTACATTCTCCTCTGTATTGATAAAACCTACTGGATAAGTGAAGCATTTCAAACAATAAAGATACCCAACTGTTGGACATGTGTCTTACTCCTCAGGTAATATAGAGAATAACTGAAGAGTAAACTCTACACACATGAAGATCAAAACAGGAAGATTGTTTGTATATTTTAACTTCTATCTGAAGTTCTCTCCATCAGATCTGCTGAAGGAAACCTCAATTAAAGGCTTAAGTATACAGTGGACCCCCGGTTAACGATATTTTTTCACTCCAGAAGTATGTTCAGGTGCCAGTACTGACCGAATTTGTTCCCATAAGGAATATTGTGAAGTAGATTAGTCCATTTCAGACCCCCAAACATACACGTACAAACACACTTATATAAATACACTTACATAATTGGTCGCATTCGGAGGTAATCGTTATGCGGGGGTCCACTGTACTTATAACTATTCTTTCTATAGTTGTCTCCATGTGGGTTACATTTCCTCTGATTGAAAAGTGTTTATACAATGTACCAAGATATAGTACAATGTGGAAGTGCAAGATGCCAATAAGATGGTGTATAAGACATATCAAAGTCAGAGCATTGTAACATTTCGCCTTGTGTAGAGCTTTATCATTTCTTATGCTTTAAAGAAATAATGGTCTGCTTGTTTGTTCTCTTTGTAATGCCTAAATATGTTGTTCCTATACTTTAATCTCCTTATATATAAGTAAATACTAATTATTCCCATTGTAATCTTTAAGTTAGGCTTAAACTCGCCCAAAATGCTCTGCATGTACAATCAAATATCACCCATCACTGTACAATGTATTATGTGGAAATAAATCTTTGACATTGACAAAGAAAAACATTGTCACAATAATAAGCTTGCTTGGAATACATGTCATTTACCCCATAAAGCACAATGTTCTCCTTATATACAACACAGAACATTCTACCTAAACATAAAAAACATACTTTGTTCATTATTTGTAAGTTTACATTATTTTACCTGAAGCATTATTCACCAAGAAAAATAATGTTAATCAAGGGAAAATTTATATATAAAAGAAATTATATTCTAATACAACACACACAACATTTAATAAATATGTAAGGCATGGTTCCTTAATTTACTAAACAAGGCACTAACAGTTTTTAAAATGTGCATCTAAGACTTCTTCTTCTTAAATTGTGTCTAAAACTTCTCCTCCACCTTTAAACTGCATCTAAAACTCCTTCATCCTTAAACTGCATCTAAAACTCCTTAATCTTTAAACTGCATCTAAAACTCCTTCATATTTAAACTGCATCTAAAACTCCTTCATATTTAAATTGCATTTAAAGCTCCTTCTTTTTTCAATTACATCTAAAACTCCTCCACTTTTAAACTGCATCTAAAACTCCTTCATTTCTAAATTGCATCTAAAACTCTTTCATCATTAAATTGAATTTAAAACTCCTTCAAATTTAAACTGAGTCTACAACTCCTTCATCCTTCATCTGGAAGGGCCCCAATGGAAATAAGTCACTCTGAATTTTTGGGTTATCCTAGGTTCTCTACACATATGCTGCTATGTATGATAATCTATGTAACTGTATTTGTGTATACCTGATAAACTTACTAATCTAAAACTCTTTCAACTTTAAATTGTATCTAAACCTTATTCAACTTTAATTTGCATCAAAAACTCCTTTTTCTTCTCTAAATGTTCATCCACAATGTCTTCATCTTCCTCCATTAAACCAATACAATAATAAAGCTCTTGATTTAAAATGCTAAAGTTTTCTGCTTTAAAGGTCATTTTGAATTTTGGCTCATCTTAACCCTTAAACTGTCCAAATGTAGATCTACGTTCACTTGCATAGCGCTGAACATAGATCTATGTTTCATATCACATGCTTCAAAATTTAAAAAAAAAGTAGATCTACGTTCAGAGCACTACACGAGTGAACGTAGATCTACGTTTGGACAGTTTAAGGGTTAAAACCTGCCTCTTCGCTCCTCCTAAGGAAAACACAAATATAATCATACTATTTTCTGTTGTATAAAGCCATTTTTTTCCCAAAACTTAAGTAAAAAACCCTGTGTTATATGAGCCAAATACAGTGGACCCCCAACTTACGATCAGCTCCCAACTAGAACAATTATGCAAGTGTATTTTTGTAAGTGCTTTTGTAAGTGTATTTTTGGGGGTCTGAAACGGACTAATCTAATTTACAATATTCCTTATGGGAGCAAATTTGTTCGGTAACAGCACCCGAACAGCCTTCTGGAACGAATTAATATCGTAAGTCGGGGGTCCACTATACTTTTGTATGACAATGCAGACAAAATTTTTATCACAAAAACTCCTAAAACCAATACATGACACAATATACAACACATTTTACATTTGTAAAGATGTGTTGTATATGAGAGTATACAGACAGTCACTTCTGCATATACCAATTTTTCATATGCCAGGTTTTTTATATGGAAATTTTTGCATCAAAGCCTAGCACTTAACTCTGCTAATATTAAAACATATAAACTTCAGTAAATTAATCTAGAATTTGCATAAAGATATTTCACAGGTTTCCTTAGGAAGTGGGTAGTTGGGTAAGGACTGGGGAAAGAAGGAAGGGGGAGACAACCAAAACAGCTACAGTTTGATGGATAAAAATTTGAGACTGTCCTTACAGGTCAAAATTCCTGTTCAGTAACATATTAAAAAATATATCAGACTAAAATAGTGTACTGTATATCTATACTGTATGTACATTGTACAATGTACAGTAAGACCCCCCATATCCACAGATACAGTTATCCACGGTTTACCATGAACTGAAAATAACCCTAAATTTTGCTTATTAAGGCCCCAAAGTGCAAAACTAGTAATGGTGACAGTTCTTCAAAGCCTAAGAGAAACCGTAAAGTGCTTCCCATGAGTGAAAATGGGCTGATTCTCAACTTACTGTGTGTAATTTAGCAATTAAACTTTATCATAGGTATGTAAGTAAAGGAAAACGACATATAAAGGGTTTGCTACTATCTACGGCTTCGGGTATCCAATGTAGGTCTTGGAACATATCCCCTGTGGATACAGGGGGACTACTGTGCAGCCTCTCCTCACTTAATGATGGGGTTCCATTCTTAAGAGTAGGTCAGTAAGTGAGCTGGTCGTTAAGCGAGGATCATACTATATGGTAGTGAGTTTTTGTCAAAGGTGACATTGTTTTAATGTCACCTTTGCACTATTTATGACATTTCTAGTATATTTTTAAATGTTTATAGAGTAGTGTACCATATACTGTAATAAGCAGAATAGGGGAAATCAGCATACTGGTTGGAGAGCTGGTCATAAGTCCGAGTGGTTGGTAAACGAGTATGTCACTAAGTGAGGAGAAGCTGTATATACATCTATACTGTATGTATATGCAATATATATCTATACTATATGTACTGTACACAGTATGTATATCTTTGTGAACATACAACATAGGTGAACCAAAAAAATTGTGAATCAATGGTTTATTTGGTTTAAAACCCATCAACTACTGTATATAACCTCTTCACAACCATCAAAGGTACTTTAATACCTAAAATAGGGATACAACTCTGTGTGTATATATATACACTTTGATGCATACCTTCGTGTGTATATAACCTTCCTGAAATTTGTGAGTAATGTCAGAGTCTGTCTGTACATACATTGTTTCAGAGATCATCTCTCTTTAAATATTGATCAAATCTGGTTAATATTGGCTCTCATATGAAAGAACTGTAATAAATAAAAGAGATATGGGTATGGGAGAGCCATCGAGCATATTTTATGACAGGGGCCAAATATAAAAGGCACTGTAAAAAATGCACAAATAGGTGAGGATATTAAGCTATGCTTTTCAGTAAAAAAAAAAAAAAAAAAAAAAAAAAAAAAAAAAAAAAAAAAAAAAAAAAAAAAAAAAAAAAAAAAAAAAAGCAGCTGCATAAGCAATGTTTGAGAATTGATTGCAAAACTCACAAACTTTGGGGTTCAACTGTTCTGTACAACCAATATGAATTAAAATAATGTCGCTAAAATGCCATGTAACAATATCTTGGAGATATATATTTATCAGTCAGGCTTATCGTAATTTTCAAGATTTTTTTTCTCAACAGACCAGCCATATACCACCAAGATAGGGTGACCTAAATTTAGTAATTTATACAGGAGGAGGAGTTACTAACCACTATGCTCCCAATTTTCAAGAAATATTCTCTTTAATATTTAATGGGGGGAGGAGGAGGAAAGTCAGTCAAAAGAGCTCTACCAGCAAGAGCTAATATCCACCGAGTTGCAACATTCTTATAACTATATATTGCACGTGCAACAATATAACCATCACATTCTGTCTTACAGCTAAACAAAAGACAGGAAATTACTTTTGTAAATAGAGTACCATGTTACTATTTATGTAAAACAAGATAACAAATATAATTGCTTTAATTTACAAAATAAAGCAATATAGACAAGTGTAACAGCATTATTGTATAAAGTAAAATATTTGATAGCTAAAATAACATTTTGTCTTCTTTTTCCTTACTCAAGTTAAATTACATTAATGAAATTTATCTGCAATTTAAGTCTTCTAAAATATATGATCAGTTAATTAAATGTGAGTTTTTCTTCCTATACACAAAGCACTGTCCCAGAACTGCTATGTCGATACAAATCTGTAGACAACCACAGATGAAGAACTGTAGGGGTGCTGAGCGTAGCCAGAAGTAGACCGTCTTGAATGTGTCACCCATCAACCACATGAGCACCATCTGTCTGCTGCAATGACCAGTATTACACTCATTAAACAATTATTTTTGTTTTGTCTACCTGGAGTCTACCTGAAGTGTGTTCTAAGGGTCAGTGCGACTACAGTCTGATCAGCTAGGCTGTTGGTGAGAGCCATATGAGGTCCAACATTAATGCCACATGTGCTCAGTTGGGTATCTTTACTGATGAAATGCTTTGCCTACACAGCAGGCTTCTTCAGTCAAATGCAGTAGCACCAAGTGAAGTAGTGAAATGAAGTTGATGTAATCAGTCCATTAACCTTGGAGAAATAGTATTTCAGGTGGTCAGTCCCTCAGCCTGGAGAAGAGTTCAGCTCCATGGAACTGAACTCTTCTCCAGGATGAGGGACTGACCACCTCAAATACTATTTCTCCAAGGTTGATAGACTGATTATATCATCTTCATTTCACTACTACACCTGCTGCTACTGTATCTGACTGAAGAAGCCTGCTGTGTAGGTGAATATTATGCCTACTTTGTTCCTTACTTATGTCAGCAATTAATTTTTGTAAATAAATATTTGAACATGACTTTTAACTTTGTTTTTTATAATGTAATAAAAAAATATAAACCCGCATTGTTCATCTGGTGTTACATGGCATAAGGTGAGTGAGGTTATAGTGAAAGATGACAAGTGGGGAGTTAGGAGAGAGGAAGAGAAGAGAATAACCCAATCAGTGCAGCAAATTAGTTTTAGTTAAGAAATCACAGCAAGTCTGCATGTGTTACTTTGAGAGAAAAAAACTCTGACACAGTCAACACACCTACTGCAATACTCCTCTATACAGATGTAACTGGTTCGACTTACAATTTCAACTTTACAATGGTGCAATAAATCTGTAAAGCTTTTCTTTTTGCACTGTACTGTACATTTATTGATAGGATAAACCTGTATTCATTTATTTACTTTTCAATGCTGGTATGTATTAAGTTAGTTACAGTAATTATTTATTTATTTACTTATTCAGTAACAGTAGTTATTTATTTACTTATTTATTTAGCATATCATATTCATATTCGACTTAAGATATTTTCAACTTATGACGGGATCATCGCAAAGCATCCTCATCATAAGTCAAGGATCACCTGTACTTTCTAAATCACAAGGTGAGTGGATATTGAAACCATGGCAAGCGAGTCCTAAAACTCCAGGTCAGTGTATAGTCCACTTGGCCGACCCATTCCATGGTTTGTTTGCAATTGTGTTATAACATTTTTGTGAGCCTTCTATACTAAGGTTATGTCCTTTAGTGAAGGGAATAAAGTTCACAGATTTCAACCCTTTGAAAATGTATTACCTTTAAATAAGTTGACCCTAATTCTTTGCCCTACTGAAAAAAAAAAAGGGCATAAGTTTTTAAAATAATGTACAGTAGCCCGTCATTTAACACAAATTTATTTGGCACGATTTGGTTATGGCACAACTGAAAAATTGCAGCACGATTTTATACAACACTTTGTAAAATTAACTTTAACTTTACACGGTTCCGTTTGTGAGCGCGGAAAAAATTTCCCCAGCTCAAGCTGCCGCCTTGTTGTGGGTCAGCACTGACCCACAACAAGGCTGACTAACTTACTGACTGTATTACTGACTTGACTTACTAACTTACTTGATTGACTGACTGACTTACTGACTGACTTAAAGTTAGAGTTTTTAACTGAAGAGGACTTTGAAACAGTGTCTAGTGCAGCTGATGCCTTACTGTCAGTTGTGTAATGTACTGCTGGGTAAAATAGAACAGAAACCCATTACAGAATTTATGCACACTCGAGTACAATCATCGACTTTAGTACCAGAACCTCTACCATCCACCTCAGTAGAGCCACAGCATAACTCTCTACGGCTTTACGTTCAGGGTCCAAACCGTAGATCTACGTCATGAGCTCAGCTCACTCTGATAAACTGTGAGTGGTAAATTTGGGCCTAGATATGAGATAATACATCTATGTGGTATGTGTGCACCACATAAAACAAATCCTGCAGCACACTGTGTATAATGAGAGGAAAAAAACTGAGACCGTGATTTTCGATTAAAACAGCGATTTTGCAGTGTTTTTTCGTATGTTTTTTATAGTTGTATTTGTGATTTCTTGGTCTCATTTGATAGAATGGAAGACATATTACAGAAATAGAGAAAATTTTGATTGATTTTAGCACTAGAAATGGCTTGAAACTGAGCTCAAAGTGGCAGAAATGTTAAATTTTTGCTGATGTTCAAGAGTAAACAAACGACCTCACACGTCTAATACACGCCAGCTGGTGGGTCTAATATACACTCACAAATGTGGTGATGATATTTATACAATTATTACAATATTGCATAACAGTATATCTTCTATTTTTTGGTGTGAATAAAAATTCATTATGTGAATAAAAAATCAAAATGGAATTTATTTGTAAAGCCTCAAAACGTAACTAATGAACAGAGGAAATGTTAGTTTAGTGCCAGGAATATCTACATTGTTTATTCTGGACCCTATTTTGAAATTGAAATATTTTGAACTTTGTGTTAAACTGGCCAAATTACCAATTTCCGGCCACTTTATTTTATAGTTGAAACATTTGACTTGGCGATTTCTTGTGCTCAATCGATAGAATAGAAGTAATACTAGTGAAATAGCTAAGAATTTGGTCGACTGGAATAATGTAATTGGCCTAAAATGGGAGTCAAAGTCGGCAAAATCGCTGATTCGTAAATATCGCTGACACATCAAAATTCACGAGAGCATAATTTCGTCAATTTCCCATCAAATTTCTTACTTTTTGTTTTATTACATTCACAAAAAGATTCTCTACCATTTCACAAGAAAAAATAATTTTTTTTTTTAAATTCTTGGACACTGGGGCACCACTTCAGATTTTGGCCTTGGACCCTGAAAGGGTTAAGCAGTAAAAACAACATAATACATCACGACAATGAACTACAATTACATATTCACTTTTATTTTTGTAAGATCTGTTGGTCTACAAAAAGTTGTCTAGCTTTTTGGGGGCTCCCAGGAATGTAACCTTGTTTTTCCTACAAGTTCTTCAGTTCATCTAACATGGTTTTACCTAACGGTGTTTTCAGGAACGTAACGACCTGGAGTTTACCTGGAGAGAGTTCCGGGGGTCAACGCCCCCGCGGCCCAGTCTGTGACCAGGCCTCCATGTTAAATGATGGTCTACTGTACAAAATATTCAAAAGACTTTTTTTTCAATAAACCAGCTGTATCCCACTGATGCAGGGTGGCGTAAAAAGAAAAACGAAAGTTTCTCTTTTTAAATTTATTAATTTTTACAGAAGGGATTACTAGCCCCTTGCTCCTGGTATTTTAGTCTCCTCTTACGACATGCATGGCTTAAGGAGGAAAAATTCTTCTGTATTTCCCCATGGAGATATTCAAAAGATTTTTTTTTTTTTTTTTTCAACAAGTTGGTTGTCTCCCACCGAGGCAGGGTGACCCAAAAAAGAAAGAAAATCCCCAAAAAGAAAATACTTTCATCATCATTCAACACTTTCACCACACTCACACATTATCACTGCTTTTGCAGAGGTGTTCAGAATACAACAGTTTAGAAGCATATACGTATAAAGATACACAACATATCCCTCCAAACTGCCAATATCAAAAGATATTCAACTTAATTACCTCATTCCAAAAGTTGATTTTGAAACAAAATTCTTGTAAAACTGTGGAACAGCAAGTAGAGCCTCTGTCAGGACAGAGATGAAGCCAGCAGTCTCCACGAAGACAGCAGAGTCAATGAAGACATACATAAGAAGACAACCCATCGTGGAAAATGTCAGCATAAACTCCACGTATGACTGAACATCCGTCCATTCCCAAAAATAATCATAGTCAAAATCTGAAAATATTAATTAAACATTAGTGCTGATGAATTCTAAGGTGTAATAAACAATATTTTTTATTTGTTTTATTAACACACTGGCCATTTCCCACCAAGGCAAAGTGACCCGAAAAAGAAGAAACACTTTCATCATCATTCACTCCATCACTGTCTTGCCAGAGGCATGCCTACACTACAGTTAAAAAACTGCAACATATCAACACCCCTCCCATCAATGAATAAACAGAAGGGTGGACGAGGGGCTCCAACTGTGGTCCGTAAATCGATAGTCCTGTCAAATTGACAGGACTGTTAATTTATGGACCATGGTTCAAGTCCCTCATCAACCCTTTTGTTTATTCATTAGCATTGATAATTACTGTATTTTTTTCATTTTATTATATACAATTGTATAAATAAATTTCTTATTTATACAATTTGATTATTCAGCATTTTTACTTAGACTACGTTTCTGTGATAACGCAGATGAAAGCTGAGTGACTACCATATTTCAGTTCATTGATACTGTCAGTTTATGGTTTGACTGGCTGGCCAGTCTACTGGGCCAGGTGGCCTGGTGGTTAAAGCTCCCGTTTCACACACGGAGGGACCGGGTTTGATTCCTGGCAGGTGGAAACATTTCAACGCATTTCCTTACACCTGTTTTCCTGTTCACCTAGCAGCAAATAGGTACCTGGGTGTTGGTCGACTGGTGTGGGTTGCATCCTGGGGGACAAGATTAAGGACCCCAATGAAAATAAGTTAGACAGTCCTCAATGATGCACTGACTTTCTTGGGTTACACTGGGTGGCTAATCCTCCGGAGTTAAAAATCTGAAGAAAATCTTATCTTATTTTATCTTACCTGGCCCCCGCCTTCTGTGTCAGACAAACAGCTTCGCTTGAGTGAGTGAAATATATCCCAAATAAATACCGAATCTAAAAATTGCAAATGAATCCATATTCCTAAATTTTTTTAATATTTCAGGCATTTCTTTGGGTCAGATAAATCCAAATATCCTAGGTAGTAGGTTGGTAGACAGCAACCGCCCAGGGAGGTACTACCGTCCTGCCAAGTGAGTGTAAAACGAAAGCCTGTAATTGTTTTACATGATGGTAGGATTGCTGGTGTCCATTTTTCTGTCTCACAAACACGCAAGGTTTCAGGTACGTCTTGCTACTTCTACTTACACTTAGGTCACACTACACATACATGTACAGGCATATATTTACACGCCCCACTGGGTTTTCTTCTATTTTCTTACTAATTCTTGTTCTTGTTTATTTCCTCTTACCCCCATGGGGAAGTGGAACAGAATTCTTCCTCCGTAAGCCATGCGTGTTGTAAGAGGCGACTAAAATGCCAGGAGCAAGGGGCTAGTGACCCCTTCTCCTGTATATGTTATTAAATGTAAAAGGAGAAACTTTTGTTTTTCCTTTTGGGCCACCCCGCCTCGGTGGGATACAGCCAGTGTGTTGAAAGAAAGAAGAAATCCAAATATATACAAAATAGTTTGGGCTGCATTCATGTTGGATATTTGGAGTCCCGCCAAGATATTAGTTAACCCTTTCACTGTTGGTGCCATATAGGTATGGCTTACAAGCCAGCATTGGTGACGTATTAATACGCCAAAATTCTAGTGGCTTCAAATCTAGCAGGAGAAAGCTAGTAGGCCTACATGTGAGAGAATGGGTCTGCATGGTCAGTGTGCACAGTATAAAAAAAAATTGGGGAGCTGGTGGTGCATTGTGGGAATGCCATTTCAGTAGTCCTTGTTCAGCATGCCTAGTGATAAGAAATATCTGACTCCCTGGCGAATCTGGGACTCTTCTCTTCCCAAGTGATAGTTCTAACACAGATAGAAGTGTCAGTGAAGATGCATTTCATGGTTCTGAGGAGTTTGTGACCAAAAGCAATGCCCAGGATACCAGATACAGATAGTGAAAAGGGAAGGCAGCTTGGGTGTTGGGGAAGGCAGCTTGGATGGTGGGGAAGATAGCACGGATGGTGGAGAAGATGGTGTGGGTGGTTGGGAAGATGGTGTGTAAGTAAGTTTATTCAGGTATACACAAATACAGTTACACAGATTATCATACATAGCAGCATGTGTAGAGAACCTAAGATAACCCAAAAAAGTCAAAGTGACGTATTTCCAGTGTGGGTGGTGGAGAACACAGGGTGTGGGGAAGGTAGCATGGGTGTGGGGAAGGCAGCATGGGTGTGGGGAAGGCAGCGTGGGTGTGGGGAAGGCAGCGTGGGTGTGGGGAAGGCAGCGTGGGTGTGGGGAAGGCAGCGTGGGTGTGGGGAAGGCAGCATGGGTGTGGGGAAGGCAGTGTGGGTGTGGGGAAGGCAGCGTGAGTGGTGGGGAAGACAGCATGGATGGTGGGGATCATGGTGTGGGTGGGGAAGGCAGCATGGATGGTGGGGATGATGGCATGGGTCGGTAAGACAGCATGGGTGGTTGGGAAGACAGTGTGCAGGTTTATTCAGGTATACACGAATACAGTTACATAGATTATCATATATAGAAGCACATGTAGAAAACCTAGGATAACCCCAAAAAGTCAAATTGACTTATTTTCAGCATGGGTGGTGGGGAAGGCAGTGTGGGTGTGAGGAAGGCAGCATGGGTTTGTGTAAACAGGTTTTGTAAACAATATAATGATAACAATGTTTGTGCAGTTATTGTGTTGCATAGAATGGGTGGATATATATACATTATACATTATATTGGTCTCACAGGCCACAAAAGTTACTTGAAAGAATAAAATATTAAAAAAGAAAAGAAAAATTGAATAAAAGTAAAAATAATATTACCAAGTGAGCGGCAGTCGCCAATGTTGTCGTAAGTGGTTCACTTTCTGTCAACTTCACGCCTCTATATCTCGGTAACTATTGATCACAATTTTTTTTCTTTTAAAACAATCAGCAAAATATTCTTAAGATTTTGTTAAGAAATTTTTTTTTTCAAATGTTTTTCGACACTGAGAGCAGGTGTGTGATCAGAGGTCTCAACAGTGAAAGGGTTAGGAAAGAATGATAAATACAAGAAAATAGTTAAATGGTGTCATGATACAAAAAACAGCAGTGATGGATGCCCTTTATTTTAATATGGTTTTATTATTAATAAAATGAATATGGAGTTGAGATTTACCAGTAAACACGTGCTCCTTTCCATGCACCAGCTGGCCTCTATTACGGATAGAGACACACAGTGATATGATCATTACCATAGCAATGTTCATGATGATACTCTGGAAGAGCAATGGCAGCTCGAACCAGTGACCAAACCTGAAAAAAAAAAAAAAAAAATTAACTATTTTAAGTCTTATCTTTTCACCAATGAGGAACACTATATGAAATGGAAAACTATTTGTATTATTAACCCAAGAAAAGCAAACATTGTGCTGTATTTCTGTTAAAGTTCTTATGTCATCTTTCTTAGGCTGTGACCAACAGTTGTCAACCAACATCCAGGCACTGCCGGTCCCTGACTTATGGTCACTTGTATTGCAATCATATTCACTTAAATTTACTCTCAAAATTAGTAAATTTAATTTTTTTTTCAATGAACCAGCCATATCCCACTGAGGCAAGGCGACCTAAAAGAAAAAAAAGTTTCTTTTTAAATTTATTAATTATACAGAAGGGGTTACCAGCCCCTTGCTCCCAGCATTTTAGTCGCCTTCTATGACATGCATGGCTTACGAGAAATTCTTTTCTACTTCCCCATGGAGAGTAAATTTAAATATGGTACCAAAAATTTGTAGAGATTGCTGCTATGTATAACATGACCCATGAGAAAACAAGTCAATAAATGCTAGTTGAGGCTGGTATGGACGATTTCTGAGGGGATATATGAAAACAGGGAAAATTTCACCAAAAAAAGTGATCGAAAACTGAATTGTATGATAACCGGACTGGAGAAAAACCAGAGTTCCACTGTATTATTATCATCATGGTGGAGTGGAGAAGAACTCTTTCTCCATAAGCCGTGTGTGTCATAAGAGGCAACTGAAATGCCAGGAGCAAGGGACTAGTAACCCTTTCTCCTGTATAAATTACTAAATGTAAAATGAAGGAAAAGTACGTTTCCTCTTTTTTGGGTCACCTGCATTGGTGGGAGATGGCCAGTGTTAAAAAAAAAGTTATTATTCCACTGGTACTGTATACTATATAGACATACTTCTTACATCTCTCTAGTACAATTGTTTCATTCAAAAAAATCTCCAGAACAGCTTACCAAAATAAAATTCTTAGAGTATTGGCAATTAAAAGTACAAGGCACACATATAGTGAGAATCCTTCAGGATTTTCCGTCCTCTTGATCTCTAGGTACTGAGGGATGTATGGTACCACACCTCCAAACATCATAGCCAGGGCCGATGTTCCACTCAGTCCCCATTTCAAGGTGTTCAACCAGCTGTCTTCTGCCATCATCAATCTGAAAAAAATGCTGTAATAATGTTGGTAGAATTACCAACAATATGTTAGGTAAACATTTACGAAGGGAAACCGGCAGGCCAGACTTGAGTCCTGGAGGTGGGAAGTACAGTGCCTGCACTCTGCTGGAAGGTGTTGATGTTGCAGTTTTTTAACTGTAGTGTAGGCATGCCTCTGGCAAGACAGTGATGGAGTGAATGATGATGAAAGTGTTTCTTCTTTTTTAGGTCACCCTGCCTTGGTGGGAAATGGCCAATATGTGTTAATAAAAAAAATAGTGATGTTAGGTAAGAGCACATAAGTGCGAGTAATGTGGCATTTTATTGTGGCAACGTTTCACTCTCCAAGAGCTTTGTCAATATAACATCATGACAAAGCTCCTGGAGAGCAAAACACTGAGACAATAAAATGTCACATTAGTTGCATGTGTGTCCTTTTACCTGGAAAATATTTTTTTTTTATAGTATGCCAGTTTTCACTGATTATACAATGTAAAATACAGGCGTCCCTGGTTTTATCCAGTGGATGAATTAAGCTTCATGTACTCAAATAACCCACACATAGGAGAGAGGCGCTTGTGATGACATTTCAGTCTGACTTGGACCTTCATGTAAGTTGTACTAAGTTTGATGAAGCTATCAAGAACCACAATGAAAATAAGCCACTTTATCTGACTTTTTTGGGTTATTCTGGTGGGTAATTTACACACATGTTAAACTAAGTATAATAATTACATTTATATGTACCTGTGCTTGAATAAACTTACTTATCAACACTTAATTCCACATAACATGAATCTTCAATACATTTTGAGAACCATACTGAGTGCATACAGTAAATGTATGTTATGAATACTTAATTACTGAGAAAATTATCATGGGGGAGAGCTAAACCCATAGGAATTAATACAGTGGCTGAGGGGAGGAGAAAGTTGGAAGGTATTCAGACTCAATTCAGGGAAATGGAGCACAGATCCAATTCCCTAGACCAAAAGCCCCTTAATAGCATCAAGGAAACTCTCTTGAAGGGATTACTGAGAGAAATGCAATGCAATATAATAGACTGCATAAAGCAAATCTGCATATAATATTGGAAACCTGTATTAAAAACCAACCTAATGAAGCAAAAATGATCCACAGATTTAACTTCATGTTAGTGAGTGTTGTATTGGTAGACAAGCAAGTTAATTTAGGCATAGGTACACATAAGTACAATTATCATACATAGAGTAATTTACCCACCAGGATAACCCCACAAAAATCAGATAAAATGACTTTATATTCATTGACATGCACCATTTAAGTTCAAATGACAAGCAATAAAAGGTAAAATATAATCAAAGGGAAGCACTAAACCCAAACATACATCACCTGGGAAATGGGAGGTGGTAATAATAATTGTCAGCTATGGTTTGTATAAGTTGTATCTTTTATTATTTTTATTATAATTATATTCTTGTTTGGGTATTCAAAAAGCCACTACAATTTATGCCATGTCAAGTCCTCTCCATCAAGGAAATACCGAAGCCAAACTGCCCGAACAACAAAGACTCTGACATAAGACATGCCTTTAATAAAAGTGTTAAACTAACACTAACATTAACATCTATTACAAGGTGAACTCAGTCATTAATCTACAACAGAAAGTATGTTAACACAGAGGGTATGTATAACAGAAAGTATGTATAACACAGTGCCCCATGGCCTGGTAGCTAAAGCTCTCACTTCACACAGTGAGGGTCTGCATTCGATTCCCAGCGCGGGGTAGAAACATTGGGCGTGTTTCTTTACACAGGTTGTCGATGTTCACCCATCAGTAAAATGGGTACCTGGGTGTTAGTTGACTGGTGTGGGTCGCATCCTGGGACAGTAACCTAATTTTCCCCAAATGCTCAGCATAACAAGGGGCTTTCTATATAGTAATATATCATTGATGTCAGCTATGGTCTGTATAATTTGTACATGTACTTGTAGAAATAAAGATATTATATTATTATTATTGAGGAATTGTTAAATGTTGATGAAGATAGGGAAGCTGTGATTTCGTGTATAGGACAAGGAGGAATAACATCTTGTAGGAGTTAGGAAGAGCCAGTTGTGAGTGTGGGGGAAGTTCGTGAGGCAGTAGGTAAAATGAAAGGGGGTAAGGCAGCCGGGATTGATGGGATAAAGATAGAAATGTTAAAAGCAGGTGGGGATATAGTTTTGGAGTGGTTGGTGCAATTATTTAATAAATGTATGGAAGAGGGTAAGGTACCTAGGGATTGGCAGAGAGCATGCATAGTTCCTTTGTATAAAGGCAAAGGGGATAAAAGAGAGTGCAAAAATTATAGGGGGATAAGTCTGCTGAGTATACCTGGTAAAGTGTATGGTAGAGTTATTATTGAAAAAATTAAGAGTAAGACGGAGAATAGGATAGCAGATGAACAAGGAGGCTTTAGGAAAGGTAGGGGGTGTGTGGACCAGGTGTTTACAGTGAAACATATAAGTGAACAGTATTTAGATAAGGCTAAAGAGGTCTTTGTGGCATTTATGGATTTGGAAAAGGCATATGACAGGGTGGATAGGGGGGCAATGTGGCAGATGTTGCAAGTGTATGGTGTAGGAGGTAGGTTACTGAAAGCAGTGAAGAGTTTTTACGAGGATAGTGAGGCTCAAGTTAGAGTATGTAGGAAAGAAGGAAATTTTTTCCCAGTAAAAGTAGGCCTTAGACAAGGATGTGTGATGTCACCGTGGTTGTTTAATATATTTATAGATGGGGTTGTAAGAGAAGTAAATGCGAGGGTCTTGGCAAGAGGCGTGGAGTTAAAAGATAAAGAATCACACACAAAGTGGGAGTTGTCACAGCTGCTCTTTGCTGATGACACTGCTCTTGGGAGATTCTGAAGAGAAGTTGCAGAGATTGGTGGATGAATTTGGTAGGGTGTGCAAAAGAAGAAAATTAAAGGTGAATACAGGAAAGAGTAAGGTTATGAGGATAACAAAAAGATTAGGTGATGATAGATTGAATATCAGATTGGAGGGAGAGAGTATGGAGGAGGTGAATGTATTCAGATATTTGGGAGTGGATGTGTCAGCGGATGGGTCTATGAAAGATGAGGTGAATCAAAGAATTGATGAGGGGAAAAGAGTGAGTGGTGCACTTAGGAGTCTGTGGAGACAAAGAACTTTGTCCTTGGAGGCAAAGAGGGGAATGTATGAGAGTATAGTTTTACCAACGCTCTTATATGGGTGTGAAGCATGGGTGATGAATGTTGCAGCAAGGAGAAGGCTGGAGGCAGTGGAGATGTCATGTCTGAGGGCAATGTGTGGTGTGAATATAATGCAGAGAATTCGTAGTTTTGGAAGTTAGGAGGAGGTGCGGGATTACCAAAACTGTTGTCCAGAGGACTGAGGAAGGGTTGTTGAGGTGGTTCGGACATGTAGAGAGAATGGAGCGAAACAGAATGACTTCAAGAGTGTATCAGTCTGTAGTGGAAGGAAGGCGGGGTAGGGGTCGGCCTAGGAAAGGTTGGAGAGAGGGGGTAAAGGAGGTTTTGTGTGCGAGGGGCTTGGACTTCCAGCAGGCATGCGTGAGCGTGTTTGATAGGAGTGAATGGAGACAAATGGTTTTTAATACTTGACGTGCTGTTGGAGTGTGAGCAAAGTAACATTTATGAAGGGGTTCAGGGAAACCGGCAGGCCGGACTTGAGTCCTGGAGATGGGAAGTACAGTGCCTGCACTCTGAAGGAGGGGTGTTAATGTTGCAGTTTAAAAACTGTAGTGTAAAGCACCCTTCTGGCAAGACAGTGATGGAGTGAATGATGGTGAAAGTTTTTCTTTTTTGGGCCACCCTGTCTTGGTGGGAATCGGCCAGTGTGATAATAAAAAAAAAATTATTAATACTCTATATAATCCATTACATTGCCCCAAAAAATGTATAATTCAGTATATTTTCAGATTAAAAGTTGAAAATTGACTGACCAGGCGAGGATAAGTTACAATAAGCTAAGAATTATTACAATTATAAGCAAGCTCTAAACCTGCAAGGGTCATAGAGAAAATATGTTAACATTGCTGATACCTGTGATCTTCAACTCTCGTTACATAGTTGACAGGCCAGCTGGTTAATAGGCCAGCTGGTTGACAGGTCAGCTGGTTAATAGGTCAGCTGGTTAATAGGTCAGCTGGTCGTCAGGTCAGCTGGTTGAAAGGTCTGCTGGATGTCAGGTCCAGCTGCTTGTGAAGTCCAGCTGGTCGTCAGGTCCACCTGGTCATCAGGTCCAACTGGTTGTCAGGTCCAGCTGGCTGACAGGTCTGCTGGTTGTCAGGTCCAGCTGCTCGTCAGGTCCACCTGGTCGTCATGTCCAGCTGCTCATCAGGTCCAGCTGGTCGTCAGGTCCAGTTGCTTGTCAAGCTGATCGTCAGGTCCAGCTGCTTGTCAGGTTCACCTGCTCATCAGGTCCACCTGCCTGTCAGGTTCACATGGTCGTCAGGTCCAGCTGCTTGTCAGGTTCACCTGGTCGTCAGGTCCAGTTGGTCGTCAGGTCCAGCTGCTTGTCAGGTCCAGCTGGTGACAATGGTCTTGTTGGGGCTGTTAAGGGCCGTCAAAACTTGCGCCACACTGAAACATTTCTGCCTTTAATCCAGGAAAAATATGATTCCAAGAACTTTTCAGGTATTGTATATAAAACAAATTTTTTTACTGGAAGAGGAACTGGAACAATATGTTCCCAGTTATGTAAGAACCATACTAGAGTACACAGCACCAGTGTGGAACCCATAATGAACATAAAAAGGACCCCCACCTACAAACCAATTTAAAACTCTACTTAGAAATCACCTCATCACCCAAAATTAACCAGACAAACCATACTCAGTACCTACCAGTGACTCTAAAGCTATATAAAAACTTCTAAATAATTTAAGACTACTCAACTTAAACTTAATTCATCTTCATTACTGTATATTGTGCTAAGATTTACTCAGCCATAAACTCATTACTTCAGAATTAGATGCTTAAATTTCATTGTATATAATATTACTAAATAGTAATATTCGTATTGTAAATTGTTTTAAATTGTTCTTAATTGTATTTATTATTTATTAGAGATACACCGGTATTCTCCCGGCCCGGGCCTTTTCCAAGTGGTGGTCCGGTCTTGGCTCCCTGTCTAGGGAGTGTCTGAGACCTAAGTCTCCCACGGGAGGAGGCACAAGTACCTCCTCATCTTTGGGATCAACTGTCCCAGGCCTAGCCACAAGCTAGGCCTCTCTGGTCTGCCATCCCCGCCACAAGGGGACTAATGGGAATGAGAGTCTTGTGAGATGCAAGCTCTGGCTTAGGCACCTACCCTGCCCTAGAAGGGCTGGGCATTCAAATTCAAATTCAAATTCAAAGTTTATTCTCTATAAGGATTACAATGCTGAGTTTACAGAAATTTGGTTATTGTTTGGTTTACATGTAGTAAAATTGTGATTACAGAGTGTACCACTAGAACGCTTAGCATGGCTAGGCATTTCGGGCATACTTAGTTTTATTCTTAATTGTAAAATATTACAAATTATGAGGTAAGTTGGTATTATGGCTAAGTGACTAAATACTAGTTTGTGAGTTTAGCAATGTGAATGCTTTTGTTTTGGCACAGTACATAGTTTCAGTATTGGAGTATCACAGGATTCATTATTTTAAGATTGAGATTAATATTTCTGTTTATGGTCAAATGAGTGAGTGAGTGTAAGTGTGAACCACCAGGTGGTATTCGTGTAGTTAGTTGACGGGGTGTATCAGGGAGATGAGATGTTTTCTAATGGTAGTTTTGAAGGTGATGAATGTGTCTGCAGTTCTAGAGTTCTCAGGTAGGGTATTCCAGATTTTAGGGCCTTTGACATACATTGAATTTTTGTAAAGGTTTAGTCGGACACGGGGAATGTCGTAGAGATGTTTGTGTCTGGTGTTATGCCTGTGGGTTCTGTCACAACTATCAAGAAAGCGTTTTAGGTCAAGGTTGATATTAGAGTTTAAGGCCCTGTAGATGTAGATTGCACAGTAGTAAGTGTGGATGTACTGAACTGGGAGTAAGTTTAGGTCTATGAAGAGTGGGGGGGGTGTGTTGCCAGGGATGGGATTTAGTGATTATTCTTACTGCAGCTTTTTGTTGGGTTATTATTGGCTTTAGGTGTGTTGCTGCAGTTGATCCCCAAGCACAAATAGCATAGGTGAGGTATGGATAAATAAGTGAGTGGTATAGTGTGAGAAGGGCATTTTGCGGCACATAGTATCGTATCTTGGAGAGGATCCCAACCGTTTTGGATACTTTTTTGGTTATATGCTGGATATGGGTGCTGAAATTCAGGTTGTTGTCAAGGTGTAAGCCTAGGAATTTTCCCCCATTATTTCTGGTAATTAGAGTGTTGTCAATCTTAATGTTAATTTGTGCATCTCCTGCTCTGCTACCAAACATAATATAGTAAGTTTTGTCAGTGTTAAGCGTAAGTTTATTGGCTGTCATCCAAGTCGATATTTTAATCAGCTCCTCATTCACAATGGTGTTGAGGGTGGCAAGATTAGGGTGAGAGATGACATAAGTCGTGTCATCAGCAAAGAGAATGGGTTTCAGGTGTTGGGATACGTTTGGAAGATCATTGATGTATATGAGGAAGAGCAGGGGACCAAGGACACTTCCCTGCGGAACTCCAGTATCAAGTGGCCGTGTTGCTGATGCTGTTTACCTGGAGTTTACCTGGAGAGAGTTTCGGGGGTCAACGCCCCCGCGGCCCGGTCTGTGACCAGGCCTCCTGGTGGATCAGCGCCTGATCAACCAGGCTGTTGCTGCTGGCTGCACGCAAACCAACGTACGAGCCACAGCCCGGCTGATCAGGAACTGACTTTAGGTGCTTGTCCAGTGCCAGCTTGAAGACTGCCAGGGGTCTGTTGGTAATCCCCCTTATGTGTGCTGGGAGGCAGTTGAACAGTCTCGGGCCCCTGACACTTATTGTATGGTCTCTTAACGTGCTAGTGACACCCCTGCTTTTCATTGGGGGGATGGTGCATCGTCTGCCAAGTCTTTTGCTTTCGTAGTGAGTGATTTTCGTGTGCAAGTTCGGTACTAGTCCCTCTAGGATTTTCCAGGTGTATATAATCATGTATCTCTCCCTCCTGCGTTCCAGGGAATACAGGTTTAGAAACCTCAAGCGCTCCCAGTAATTGAGGTGTTTTATCTCCGTTATGCGCGCCGTGAAAGTTCTCTGTACATTTTCTAGGTCGGCAATTTCACCTGCCTTGAAAGGTGCTGTTAGAGTGCAGTAATATTCCAGCCTAGATAGAACAAGTGACCTGAAGAGTGTCATCATGGGCTTGGCCTCCCTAGTTTTGAAGGTTCTCATTATCCATCCTGTCATTTTTCTAGCAGATGCGATTGATACTGTGTCTTTAATGGTGACGTACTGATACCTATTAGTAATGTAAGATTTGAAATAAGCAAGCGCATGGCCTCTTATACCGTAATGATCAAGTTTGTGGAGTAGGATGTCGTGGTCTACTGTGTCAAAAGCTTTTCTTAGGTCAATAAAAATTCCTAGTGGATATTCCTTATTTTCCAATGCTGTGTAAAGCAGATCTAGCATTTTTATGATTGCATCATTAGTGCTTTTATTTTTCCTGAATCCAAATTGGCAGGGGTTGAGTATGTTTTGAGCCGTTATAAATGAATACAGTCTCCTGTGCACGAGTTTCTCAAAGATTTTGGATAGCAATGGTAAGTTAGATATTGGCCTATAGTTGTTTAAGTCTGTAGGGTCACCACCTTTATGTATTGGTGTAACCCTTGCCATCTTGAGTAGTTTCGGGAAGGTGCTAGTCTCTAGTGACTTGTTAAAAAGTAATGAAATAGCATGCGAAAGGACATGGGCCGCTCGCTTGTACAGTAATGGTGTCGATTCTCTCTAAATTGTACCAAATTGTAATAATTTCATATTGTAAGTTTTTTAAATTGTACCATTGTAATATCTCCATATTGTAAATTAATTCAAATTGTACCATTGCCTGTAATAATGTAATTTTTATAAACTAATTTTAAAACTGTATTTACTGTAACTCATCATGTCCTATAATTATCTGTTATTGCCTTACTAATCTTAAGTTAATATTAAGTTTGTCAGAAATGCTCTGCATACAAAGGGGCTTTTGGTATGCACAACCAACTAATATATTATTTTGTACAACCATGTATCATGTCAAAATAAAATTCTTCTTCTTCTTCTTCTTTTAAATCAAGGACCCCAATGGAAATAAGTCAAGGACTCTAATGGAAATAAGTCAAGGACCCCAACGGAAATAAGTCAAGGACCCCAATGGAAATAAGTCAAGGACCCCAATGGAAATAAGTCAAGGGCCATAATGGAAATAAGTCAAGGATCACACTGGAAATAAATCCCTTTGTCTGACTTTTTTTTTTGGAGGGGGATTATCGTGGTGGGTAATTTACACTATGTATGTTAGTTGTACTTCTGTGTACCTGTACCTAAATAAACTTACTTCTGAAGAGGATCACAGATAAACAGGTAAACTCCAGAGAGCCAGATATAATATGGGGATCGAAATATACAGATCAATTAATCTTCTGAGTTTCTGTCTCCATGTGGGTTATTACTGAGCAGTGACAAGTGTTCATTATACTTTAGCTATCCGCTTACTTGTGAAACTGGAAAAAAGTGCAAAAATCTGCAAGGAAACTAGTCTCAGAACTGAAGAATTAAGACCTATGAGAGGCCAGAGGTGCTAAACCTGACACATTAGAGGACAGAAAGACCACAAGAGACATGATTACGACATACAAAATACTGAGAGGAATCGACAGGGAGAATCTGTTAGAGAAGCTGGTCTCAGGTACACAAGGGCACAGGTGGAAGTTGAACATATGAGTCACAGATGTTAGGAAACATTTCTTTAGCCCTAGAGTAGTCAGTAAGTGGAATGAGGTGATGGAGGTAGAATCCATACATAGCTTTAAGAAGTCAGTAAGCTTATTTAGACACATGTACACATAAGTACAATTGGCATACCACAGGGAAGCGTCCTTGGCCCCCTACTTTTCCTTTTACCTATCAACAACCTTCCAAATGTATCGCAACAACTTAGACCTAACCGATATAAGCTGGGAAGATATACTAAGCAACACAGACCCCAACTTATGCCTAGAACAGATTAACTCGGTGGCACTCGATGTATGCACAAGGCTTATTCCTCTAAGAAAAAGGAGGAGTAGATGTAAAATAGAAAGAGACAGGCGCTCCCTTTACAGGCGACGGAAAAGAATAACAGAGCGGCTAAAAGAGGTCAATATATCTGAAATGCGTAGGGAGACACTGGTCAGAGATATAGCAAGCATCGAACTTAAGCTAAAAGAATCCTTTAGGAGTCAGGAATCGCGGGAAGAACTAAAAGCCATAAATGAAATCGAAAGAAACCCAAAGTATTTCTTCTCCTATGCCAAATCAAAATCGAGAACAACGTCCAGTATTGGGCCCCTACTTAAACAAGATGGGTCCTACACAGATGACAGCAAGGAAATGAGTGAGCTACTCAAGTCCCAATATGACTCAGTTTTTAGCAAGCCGCTAACCAGACTGAGAGTCGAAGATCAAAATGATTTTTTTTATGAGAGAGCCACAAAATTTGATTAACACAAGCCTATCCGATGTTATCCTGAC